ACCATTTTGGGCGCTTTAGGCCATTTCTTCCCGTTTTTCTTACCGTCGTACTATTCAGTGCCTCTGCTCCCTTTCCTGCAGCGAACCAAATTACTGTGTCCATTGCCTCCAATTTTACGAGAAGTCTTGAGTGCTGAACACCTCGCAGAATTGTCTGTGATTATGACAACCTATGCTGGAGTATACGTAGATAACCTGAGGCTACCTATTTGTGCTAGGTCATAGTTCTCAAAACGTATCGTAAGCATGACAGCACCTGCTGTTTTGCCATGATTAGACGCGCTGCAGTGGAGCACACTTCCTCCGCTCAGAAGGCTCAAAGCAGTTGGAGGGTTGCGTTGCTCTGACGCCCTGACCTGACTTTGCCTGCTCTGCGGCACGGCCACCCACGCGCCTAATCATGGCCAACCCCTGGTCGGCCCTCTCACTCCTATGATTGTGTGCTCCTTGCAGGCTTCAGTATCTACGCAAGTGAGCACCTTGAGATATTGAGGATATGTGGGCGGAGATGGGAGATGGCACTATACTATCACTATGCTCCAACTTCGGTCCCCTAACACATTTGTGTGCACAAAGTGGCATATAGGCGCAGTTTGTCTTTGACGGGTCCTTCACGCTTTTTATCGATTATGGAAGTATTCTCATAGAGGCTGTCCTGATAAAGGAATAGACAAAACCTGTAATAACTGACATCTCATGGACTATCAGGCAACCGCGTATTGATAAACATGAAAACAGCAGGAAAGTCAAGAAGGTTCCCTGCGCAAATGTGAGAAAATTCCAAAAAGAATCCTTGGAAAGAGGTATCGCTGTTTCAGGGTGCTTGTACGGGATTGTACGGTTGTACGATAAGTGCACTGTGTGCGGCCTACTTCTACAGATATCGGCTTCTCCTCTACAATACTTCCTTCGAGTTTTCAAATCGTACACTAGCAATGATTATAGCATGCATATACATAGTAACGGTTGGAATTCCATCACCATTAGCGGTCTTGGCATTCAAGAATCATGGCGAAAGTGTAACTGCGATGAGAAAGGTGAGAAGATCTCAGAAAATTTATAGCAGTTCTGTGGTAGAGATATTTTCATCGCCTGGAGCCACCTTCCTCTTTACAATCTGATTTATGAATCTTAAGATTGACGCTGAAATGTACCTTGGAGATAGTTTCGTTTCTCTTGGTGGACCAACACTATTTATTTGGATTTACTACGATACAGTACTTGCCGTTGTAATGCCAGTGGTCATCGTGGTGATTTTGAGACATACCTCAACAATACTCCGAAATCAAGCAAGATTCAGCGAAGCATCCAGAAAAATGCATAAATTAGCCATCTCTGGCTTGGCTGTTCAGGTAAATAGGAGTGGAATAGCTACTCGTGAATTGAGCATCAAAACACTGGGAAATGCTACTTACCACCCTTATCAACCTTCTTCCGTCCTGGAACTTTGGCATAGTTCGTAATACATGTGTTGGTTTTTGTATATTCCTTCCGGCAAAGGTCGCAGCGTACCTCGGCTTATGGGCATCGAGTGGTGCTGAGCGAGGCTTCTACAGACGAAATTGTGGTTCGCACAGGGCAAATGAATGTAGCAAGGTGGTTCACTTGTACCTCTCCTACATTCTGCAGTTTCACAAGCGTACACAGGTAATTAGCATAAAGTAAATCGATCAGCGGAAGTGTAAAATCTCTACCACTTCACAACCGTTACCGAGAGTCCTAATACCTAACACCTGTTTTGCAAACTAATCCAGGCAATGCAACGAGTTGGCTGATGCGTTAATCGGAGCTTCGGGTGTGGTGGTTACATTTTCGGACCTCCTCGGTAGAGTGATGGACCATCATCGACACCCAAGCCTTGGGAGTCACAGACACCGAAGAAAGGCGTTTGTGAAAAGGGTACCTGAAGATGCATGGTGACTCATTCCTCGAATCTCGACAATTTGGCCAAACGTTATTCGCAGATTCGGGTGTGGTCTTTGCATTTTTAGACCTGGTGGAAGGATGGACATACATCGACGTCATAGCTCTGAAAGTCGCTCAGGAAAAGGAAAGGAGATCGATCATTTCATATACATGGACGAAATGTCGGAACCCTCGGCTGGAACATCAAATAGCCGCCTTTTAGCCTACGCTCCTACTATCAGGTGCAAAATTTCGAGCTCAAGAAGGTGTAAAGTCGAAGGGAAAGTAAGTCTTGAAAGGAAGCTGTACACGTACACTCCGTGAATGCTGGCACAACAAGAAATGGAGTGCATAGTCATACGTTCGCAATCCAACAGGGCGGTATCAAGAGACGTAAAATGAGCTCACCAGCAGTTGCGTTACGCCAGTTGTGGCTGGCTCAGGTAGAAAATAACAATGCGAGAGGGGGGGGGGTTCGGCCCATTCCTGAGTGCCGGATTGACACCACGTCATCAACGGTTCTTGGTTTTATGCTTCTATGAAAACTTTTCAATATCTATGACAACGTTCAAAATTTTTCAGACTATTGTAATCACAATGACACTATGTATTCCTATTTTTATTCTCTTTATATGCCTTCAAATCGGACCGTCCTTAATAACATCTACGGATGGTATGTAAATACGTTTAGTCACTTGATCATAGGTTTTGCACTATAGTATACGAACGTATGCGTTCATACTTTGCGGCAGCGTCCACCAGCGACCATCTGCATTTGAGCGCTCGTCAGCGTCAGATGGCTAAGAAAATCTTCATACCAATCTCCCCAACGGCAGCGTCTACTACAGGCACATCGTTGTTGGGGAATCCCCAATAGGGGGGGTCGTATTTGGTCGCCAGGAGGGGGTCGTATTTGGGCTGAGAAAAATTTATTTTGATAGTTGATTTTTCTCGCTTCATGGACGTTGTAAAGGGAGGGGGGGTCGTATTTGATCATTTTTGGGAGGGGGTCGTATTTACGTTTTGGCGTTGTGGGAGTGGCGGTTGACTTTGGCCTGTTTCACGTACTATATGCCCCCCCCCCGCTCGACAGCAAAATTTTTGGTAAAAAGTAGGGAAGTTTTCGGGAAATTATAAAAAAAGGGGCAGGAAGCTGGGGAAAATCTGATTGGTCTGATTGTAGGGGGGTCGTATAGAGTCGACTAAAATCCCCAACCAATGATGTGCCCTGGTCTACTAGTGTTTACCAGCGTCCTCCAGCGATCATCAGCATCTCGAGGGACCA